GGCTTGGTCTGAATTCTACATCTACCGCGAGAGGCACCTCTAGCAAGAACACCAACTTTACCAATCTAGCTAGCATCCATTTTTTTGTTTTTTTCGGCCATGCATGATTTTATCATCTTCTGGATTTGCTCTGGCTTATCACTGTCCCTCCTTAAAGAGGCACTGAGAATAAATTATAGTGTTCCAGGTGAAGTGTGACCTGGACTACATGAAACATAGTACCCCTGTAGATTTAGATCCTTGTGGTAGGGGTTGGGAGGCAGCGTATCCTCAGGAGCAAATTTTCTTAATCTTTTGGTTCTCTGTGTGTGTTTTTTCAGGGTGTTAATGAAGTGAAATCAAAGAAGAGGTGTTTTGGAAACAATTATTAATTTACTCAAGCTGTTAATCTATTCTTTAGCTTGTTACCTACTGTCTTACATGAAAATCAGTGGTTAGAAGGTGTGCTTTTCTGACTGCTCTCTTGATTTCTGTTAACCAGTTCACCAGTTTCTTTTCCTGGCCTTTTCAGTAATGCATCTCAAAGTGGCAGGTGTTCTAATGATATATGATGTTTGGAATGAGGATAGGAAGAATTGCTTAACTTTTATTGTTCTGGGAGGTAGAAAATGAAACAGTATTTATAGGAGTTATATATGCTAGTACAGTGGGGAGGACTTTGAGAGATAAAAGGAGAAACAGAGTAGAAGAAAGAGAAAATAGAAGTTGAGAAAAAAATAGATGGCAAAACAGTAATAAGGAAAGAGAATGTAATTTTGTGATCACTGGATCATCTGCCATGTTCTTCCATAGTGTTATATACATTACTCATGCTGTCTCTTCCATATATGACTATGGAAAGTAGACATCATTAACCTCATTTTATAGAAAAGGTCACTATCTCAGTCGCATAGCTACTGAATAGCAGGATTTTTTAAACCTGGTTCTAAAGCAGAACTGTTCTCATTTGACTTAGCTACAAGTTTTGTCCCTGAGATGAAGCAGATGGAGAGTCACTATAGAGCCAAGAGCCAGTTGGCATGCGTTCAAATCCTGGCTCCATCTAGGCTCTACCGCCTACAGGCTCAGGTACCCAGGCATGTTGCTTGATCTCTGTCTCCCTCATTTTCCTCATCTGTAAAATCATGATAAACAGGGTACCTTCCCTTAGGGTTGTTGTAAATTAGTTTTAGTTAATATATAGTAAAATGCTTAGAACAGTTCTGGCATATATAGAGTTTTTACTGTGTCATCATATCCTTCATCCCTAACCAGGCTTAATTCCCAAAATACACACACACACACACACACACACACACACACACACACACACACAGCCTCACCTTCCTCTTTTCCCTTCTCTTTAATATTACACAGAAATGGAAGAATAAAGATTAACCTTAGGTAATAAATAAGTAAGGATAAGTAATATAAGTTAAAATTTGTCGTTTAAAGCAAAAACTTTTGAAATGGCTCCCATTCACTTTTCTTTTTCTAAAATAGGATGTTTCCTAGCCTCCCTGTGGTTCAGGTCTATAGGATTTAAGCAAATTGTTACAGGATAATACAGAGCTTTGGACATTTCTGATGATTATTTCTATTGTGTTATAGCTTAATCATTTAATTAACTTTCTTTCCTAGGAAATTAGAACTTATTTTCTTTATTTTTATTTTTTAAATATGTTTTTATTCATTTTAGAGAGAGGAAGGGAGAGGGAGAGAGAGATAGCAACATCAATGATGAGAGAGAATTATTGATCGGCTGCCTCCTGCACACCCCCTACTGGGGATCAAGCCCACAATCCTGGCATGTGCCCTGACCGGGAATGAAACAGGGAATTGAACCGTGACTTCCTGTTTCATGGGTAGATGCTCAACCACTGAGCCACACTGGCCAGACTAGAACTTATTTTTTAAAATGATTAATCCTTCTAACTTGCTGAAGATCAATTACTAGATTGAGGAGAAGGTATAAGTAGAAAAACAGCTACAGCTTTTACTTTGCAAAGAGCCTGAAGATCTCTGTTATTTTGAAAGTAATGAAAGGGCAAGAAGGGGTCCTTTTTAAAATTCCTGTGTAGAGGCATGAGGGGCAAAGTTGTTTTGTTTTGTTTTAAGTAATGACTAACTCATTAATTTTGGCTTAATTAATTTCAATTGATTCTTTGTTCAAAATTTACCATGGAAGTCTTAATAATTCAATGAAGTATTATAATAATAATGTTTAATGTTTTTACCACAATCAATAATTATATTTGTGTATTATTTATGTATATTATAATCTACTTGATTATTGTCATAAACATTATTCTAAATATTAATTTATTACCATATATTACCCATAGTTTTCTTTTTTTTCTCTTTTTAATGATGCCATTTAGTTCTTGTATGATAACCATTTGCAGTATTTAAAAACAAATGACAAAGTGCATTCAGGAAAGTATTCCTAGCCTTAGTTATAGTAGAAACTATAAAAGTTCAATTCTCATAGCAAAAAAAATATGACATTCTAAGTCAAAACTTTATTGTTGTCTAGAGTGATAATACTTTTTATAAATAACTAGAGACCCTGTACATGAAATTCATGCACGGTGCGGGGGGGGAGGTCCCTCAGCCCAGCCTGCACCCTCTCTAATCCAGGACCCCTCAGGGGATGTCCAACTGTCAGTTTAGGCCCAATCCTGCAGGGGAGGGCAGTTAGGGGCGATCAGGCTGGCAGGGGAGGGCAGTTAGGGGTTCCTCTCGCAATCCGGGACCACTGGCTCCTAACCACTTGCCTGCATGATTGCCCCTAACCATCTCTGCCTGCCTGCCTGCCTGATCGCCCCTAACCACCTCTGCCTGCCGGCCTAATGCCCCTAACCACCTCTGCCTGCCGACCTGATTGCCCTTAACCGCCTCCGCCTGCCAACCTGATCGCCCCTAACTGCTCCCCTGCCGGCCTGATTGTCCCCTAACTGCTCCTTTGCTGTCCTGATCGCCCCTTAACTGCCCTCCCCTGCTGGCCTGATCGCCCCTAACTGCCCTTCCCTGCCGTCTTGATCGCCCCTAACTGCCCTCCCCTGC